GTGTTGCTATTTAAGCATGCTTCACTTTGTCAGACAGGTTCTATTTAAGTGATTTCTTGATTCAACAGGTCTGGCAGTAATCAGGCCTGGGTGTGGCTAGTGAAATTTAACTCAGCTTTCTAAAATAATGTGGTTAATTGCAGTTCTTTCATGATTTAACAGGAGGGGGCAATTAATTTTTCACGTAGGGCCACGTAGGTTTGGACAGCTTTTTTCCCTTGATAAATGGAATCATCATTTAAAAACTGCATTTTGTATTTACTTGCATTATCTTTGTGTAATAATTAAATTCGTTTGATGATCCGAAACATTAAAGTGTGAAAAACATGCAAAAAAACAAGAAATCAGGAAGGGGGCCAACACTTTTTCACACCACTGTGTATATATATGCATGTCTGAAGTGTTTAGGTAGTTTTAGTGCATTTTTGATGTAACATTTACTGTTGTGTCAAGATGAAAGTTGGTTAGGAGAATACTGTGAAGGGTTTTGAAAAAGTGACCTAAAACTGATGTATGTCCGAGATATGGGGGGAAAAAAACTGTAATATGTTAATGGACTTTTCAAAGTGCATGTTGTAGCTAAGGTGAAGCCTGTGCTAGTCAATTAATGCTTTATAAAATATATCAAATGAAACTTTCATTCCTATGTCCATCAGTTCCTTTCTTCGCCTGTTCTTTCACTAAATTATTCTAATGCTTTTCAGTTCCCTTGATGAGTGAGCAGACGTTCTATATCTGACACCTTTTTAGATGCTCTTTTTACATTTACATTTACATTTAGTCATTTTGCAGACGCTTTTATCCAAAGTGACTTACAATTGGGGAATACATAAAGCGATTCTTCTTAAAGAGGCAAACAGACACAGGAAGTGCTTGTAATACCAAGTTTTAGCCATTGTTCAAATAAGTACAAGCTAGAAAGGGAAGGAATAAATAAAGAGAAAGACAGAGTTTTTTTTTAAATTTAGGATGAAGTCAAGTAGCGTTTAAAGAGATGAGTTTTCAGCTGTCGCTTGAAAATTGTCAGGGATTCAGCATTCCGGATAGGGGTGGGAAGATCGTTCCACCAGCCAGGAACGGTGAATGAGAATGTTCTGGAAAGTGATTTTGAGCCTCTCTGTGATGGTACCACGAGGCGTCGCTCACTAGCGGATATCAGACTTCTGGAGGGGAAGTAGATTCATAGTAGTGAGAGGAAATAGGTGGGTGCTGAGCCTGTGGCTGTTCTATATGCAAGCATCAATGCCTTGAACTTGATGCGAGCCACAACCAGTAGCCAGTGCAAGGAGGTAAAGAGAGGTGTAACATGGGCTATTTTGTGCTTGTTGAAGACCAGTTGTGCCGCATGCTCCAGTAGAAAGGACCTGATCTTTCTGATGTTGTGCAATGCAAACCTGCAAGATCGAGCAGTCTTTGCAGTCTTTGCAAATTTTAGATGAAGGGAGCTGAATTCAACAACCACAGCATCACATGACAATTTGTGTCAAGTTAGCCTCACATTTTAGTCAATGTAAAAATGTATTTGCTTTAGTGGTTCAACGGATCACAAATCTCACGGTTCGGATCACATTATTGTTTTTACCCCACGGATCGGATCATTTTTCGGATCAGCAAGAAAAGAAAAATATTTCAATTTAACTTGCTTTCCATTTATTACTTAAAGCGAAGTACTTCTTTGATACCACAGCAAATACTACTAGATTAACTAAGAGAGTTTTAACATGATTAAAGAGACAAGAGAACAGCCAGTAAAAATAAGAACAAATAAACAAATTACAAGCATAGATAAATACAACAGAATATGTTACAAATAAAATAAGGTTGGTAGTATTCAAATACAGAAATGTAGTAATTAGGGAAAGTGTTCCCTGTATAAATTGAATATACATTTTTATCACATCTGTTTTGTTGTTTGATGATCATTAATGACAGCAGCAGTATTTATAGGCCGCTGTCCCTTTAAGACCTGATGCACGGAGCCGATATAATGATACACATCATGTTTTCATTCACTTGAGACATAACTGACTGAGTTTACCTGAATGATTGTCGAGATGGGTATTTTGTCATAATTTTATGTGTATGTGTCTGTACAGAGGATTCTGAAAAGGATTCAATTCGGTGTTCGCGCGCCATCTGAAACGCGTGTGTGGCTGTGCCTACTAGAGAACAGCGAGTAATGAAACGAGTTCCCTTTCGCCTTTCCTCTCTTTAATTTTTTACAATTTGCTTGCTTGTGTAAATACGAACAAATGATAAACTAATAATACTCCATTATGCTTAAATTTTGCAATTAATCCACGGATCACGTGTGTGCCAAACCGCTTTGTCCCTAAGGATCAACTACAATCCATTTAGCCACTAATTTGCTTCCATTTCCAAGTGACATTAATAATCTTTACAATTGTAAACTCTTGAGACTTAAAAGAAAAAAAATGCATTGTAAACTCTGTAAGTACGATAAAGCTTATAAAATTATAACTGACTACCCTCTTTGTGCTGTTTCTGTAACATGATAGTGCAGATTCTATTGATATTCTACTCTTTAAAGCTCATAACAAACAGAACATGAATGAAAGGTGTTATTTTGAAACTTTATTTCACTAAGTTATACTCACCTATAACTGATATGTTGTATTCAGCAACACACATTTCTTGTTTTCCTATTGTCATTGCTCTGTAGAGTCCACTGTCTGTCTTCTGCATGTTCCTCAGTGTTAGAGAGAAGGTTTTAGCATTGAAATCCACTCTGTTCATATATGAACTGTGAGGTTTGATTTCTCCAGATTGATTTAGAAATCTGACTACATTATCTGATTTATCATTCATCCATACTAATCTACTAAAGTGAGGTGGTGTTTCATTTTTTATGTCTAGTTTAACAGAGCCCCCTGTTTGTATGAACACATGGTCTCCAGATCCGTATACTGAGGAGAGAAACATGAAGAAATTGTATTTTTAAAGAATGTATCATGCCTTTGTTCAGTGGCGTGCACAGACCTCCGGAGGGGCAGGTGCGAAATGGCGTTACGAGGGCATTTTGCAAGCTGTTTGAGCATTACAGCCAAACTAATTTCCCTATTATAAAGACAAAGCCTTTCAAAGTAACAAAATATAAAAAAGTATGGCGGATATGAAGGCCAAAGTGGTTGAAAGATACACGTTACAAATACACATATACAAATAGAATAAACAGTGTTTTATTTTCAGGTAGGCTGAAGTATAGGCACCTATTAATATGTGTATTTAGCAGGAGCATTCAGAAAATTGAATGAACAAATATAAAAATAAAACACTATATACACATTGATTCCTATTAAAGCAACTGTACTACAGTTTTCCAGAGAGTGATTTCTCTTTGTGTTTGGTGTTTTATTAACATTAAAAGAATAATTCACCAAAAAATTTAAATAGGCTAGTGTTTTATTTGTATACCTTCATTTACTCACTCAAAAGTTGTTTTAAACCTGAATGAGTTTCCTACTTCTGCTAAACAAACGATATTTTGAAGGTGGAAAACCAAACAGTTGCTGGTCCACAGTGACTTCCATAGTATTTTTTCCCCCTACTTTCAAAGTCAATGTGGACCAGCAACTGTTTGGTTACCCAGATTCTTCAAAATATTTTTTGTGAGAAAGAAATTAATATAGGTTTGGGACAACATGTGAGTGAATAAATAATGACAGAACTTTTAGGGAAAACTATCCCTTTAATTACAGTCGGCAGCATGTAGCCTACTGTCCCTTTAAGACCTGCACACATCTATTATACAGGCACGCATCCTTTTCTCTCAGTTGTTTACTTTCATTTTAGACATAACCAACTGAGTCTATACATAAACCTTGTGTGTTTTGACAGTATTAGCACAAAACATAACTTAGTTCAGTAATCAGTCACTGTTTGACGGGCTTTTTCGTTTTCGTGCGCACGCTTTAGGTGTGTTCATAAAAAGCGCTTAAACTCTTTGTGGCCAATGTTTTGAGGCCAAACTGACTTAAACAGGGGCATAGCCATCATTTCAGAAGTGAAGGGGACAGAAATTATTATATATATATATATATATATATATATATCACTCTTATCTTTTGGATATTCATCTCTCGTCTCATTACTTCACATCCACTAAAAGCCACATTTTGGTCACCACCACAGTTACAACATTTTGGTGGTACCCCTGACCCACATTTTCCATATTCATGGTCCCCTCCACACCTTGCACATCTTCTCTGCCTATTACAATTTTTTGCAATGTGACCAAACCTTTGGCAGTTAAAACATCTCAGTGGTTTTGGCACGTACACCCTCACTGGGTAACTCATAAAACCCCAAAAAAAACTTTCTTTGGCACCATCTCTTCTTCGAACTCTATTAGCACCGTTTCACTGTCCTTTACCACTCCATCCCTTGTTGATTTCATTCTTTGAACATTTACAACTTTTGCTCCCTTGATATTCCTCTTTATTTCCTCCACTGTTACACTCATTGATACCCCTGTAATCACTCCTATCGTTCCACTTTTTGCTCAACCGCCTGTACTTTCCGATAAATATGATGATCCGTTTCTAAAACACTCGCTGCTTGTATTTTTTTTCAAAAAAAATTCCACGTGCGCTTCTGGCGTCTCCACTCCGTTCTACACCTGTAACGACAGAGGAAGCTGGCTTCACAGAGAGTCTGTGTGTGTGAGCGGCTTATATGTGTGTGTGTGTGTGTGTATATGAGGTGCAGGTGTGGATGAGTAATCAGTCCCAGGCATGAGGGGTGATGGAAATTGGAGTCCGAATGGGAATGACTAATATTCGGGAGACGGTTCCCTCTGGTGGTGCGGAGGAGGCGGTACGGGAGCCTCCTCTGTAACAATCTCAAACGGTGTCAGGGTTTAATTAATTTAAGTGGATACAGTATATAAAACATATTAAAAATATTGATTCAGTACCGTATATAAAAACAATAAAGGAATAATCTGAAAAACCAAGCCTTGTGCATTATAAGGAATAATATTTATAGATTTTTACAGTTGGTTTGATACCTTTATCTCAAACGGTGTCAGAGTTTAATTAAAGTAGGTACAGTATAGTGGTGCAAAAGAATAGCGCATGGAGTAAGACGAGTTTTCACCCAGCTCCGTCACACCTGGTGGAATAAATCATATAAAACTTTGTTACTCCTACTTAACTTGATCAGTTAGTAAAGTCAATATATTAATGATGAATAAATCTAAAAAGACTGTCAAAAAGACTCCGTCCCCGACTGTCAACACGGTGGAAGACACTTCAACTAGCCCGGTGCTAACTAACTAACTAACTAACACTAACTTTGGCAATGAGACCACTGAGACCGATGCTTTTTATCCTTTGGAGGATGAAGATGATGTTTCACCCAGGGCTATTCCTCTGGCCATTAGAAAGATGGATTCCTCTATGAATGCCCGATTTAACAACTTGGAAACTTCTTTGTCTGTAGTGCAGTCGACGCTAACCGCCAACACATCCCGTATCACTGACCTGGAAGAGGCTAGCACTGATTATAGATCCTGCATCTCTCATCTGGAGCAGCTTTGCTCCGGTCTATCACAGGAGAACATGTCTCTGAAGGCAAAGGTAACGGATCTAGAGGCTAGATCTTGCAGGCAGAATATCAAGATGGCGGGTCTTCCTGAGAACATCGAGAAGGGCAACCCCACACGTTTTGTTTCCGAACTTCTGCCCTCACTACTAGGAGAATCTTGGCAAATGCGCGCATTGCGTTTCAGCCTGACTTGCGTGGCGCGCATCTGCTCGTACAGCGCCAGTCTAAACTCGAGTTATTTTTCGCGCCTTGTGCTTAAACGTTCAAATGCACAGTTATGTGTCCAAATGTCTCCTCGTCAACACAGTTATTTGTATCTTAAACGAACGTTAATAGTTCAATATAAAGCATGTGTAGTAATAGGCTGTATGAGATCCTAATATGATGAGATTTTAAAGGGATAGTTCACCCAAAAATGAAAATACTGTCATCATTTACTCAGCCTCAAGTTGTTCTAAACCTGTATGAATTTCTTTGTTCTCCTCAACATAAAATAAGATATTTTGAAGAATGTTCGTAACTGGAAAGTGTCTGGTCCCCATTGACTCCAGTAGTGTATTTTGTTTTTCATACTATGGAAGTCATGGGGGCCCAGCAACTGTTGGGTTTCCAGTATTGTTCCAAATATATGAAGAGTTTATTTGCAAAAACAGATAACTCAGTTTATTAAAAAAAAAATTTAAATCATGTTTTTTATTATGTTATCATGTTTTTATTGTCTTTTGTTGTGTTAGTTAGCTGTATTTTTTTGTTATTTTTTAACTTAATCAAAATAACCCAACTGCAGTTTGATCGAGAATAATTGGAATGCACAATGAATTTTTTATTTTTTTTTTAATTGTTAAAAATGGAGTTATCTGTTTTTTCAAATTAACTCTTCATGTACTTTTACATTCAACAGCAGAAAGAAACTCATACAGGTTTAGAACAACAACAGTCCTTTAATTTTTGGGTGAGCTATTCCTCTAAAGCAGCCTAATTTAGCTGCTGTTAATTTATGTCAATAATGTTAATCAAACATTTGAAAGAAAATCAATCACTGTCCTTGACTGAATCACTTTTGTAAAATAAATAAGAATGAATGTATATTGAATTTATACAATGAAGACTATTCAGTTTATTTGTACAATATAATTTCTTATTCAGTGCTTTAAGTGTTTCAAGTAGGTCTATTTTTTGTAATTTGTGTCTGTTTACTTGTCTTAAGTATAAGCTTGTTTTTACTTAGGCTAGTATTTTTTATATTTTTTTTAAATATTGAGTTATAAAATTCCAATGCATCAAAATTTTGATAGGATAAAAATCCTATTTAAAGCGATATCGCTTTAAATATGATTTTTATCCTATCAAAATTAGGAGTATAATTTTGATAGGATAAAAATATATATTATATCAAAATATATATTATATTTGTAATGGGGGCCCTGCAGTAAGTCATAGCCCCGGGGCCCTGTAAGGTCTTAATGCGGCCCTGGGCTTACGTATCGCGGCCCATAGAAACAGTCGATAATGAGTCATCTAGGTATATATATCTATGGAGCATACTAAACTTCAGCCGCGAAACTGGCTAGCACATTATTAGGAAAGGCGATTTGCAAAGATTCATAAAAACGCTTATTCTCACTTCTTCTGTAGATGAAGCTGGACCACGAATGATTTGGGCGAACATAGATTTAGGCAGATCGGGGATCAGCGCATTCACTTCAAAATGAAAGTACCGTTAATCCTCTGCTTCTTCAGCAGCTCAGATGTCTGGAGTAAATGACGACTGCTATATTCATTACTACATCCAGCAACTAAACACATCAATCGCTTAATCGGAGACATTCTAGTCTTCCCCTGCACCGGAGTCGACACAACTGCGGGGCGGAGCTAAGGTAAGACGCTACTGTCAATCAACTATCGTGGGAGGGGCCTGTACAGAACTACGTCATTCTGACAGGAACCTCAGAACAGCCTGATTTGAGAAAGGGGATTTTAAAATAGGGATTTAAAAAAAAAAAAACATTGGTTGGATTTTTATCATTATAGGATGGATGTGTACATACACTTCCAACACACATTTATGTTCAAACAACTTGTAAAGTGAATTTTTGCATCCGAAGACTGAAATACTGTGCCTTTCCCGTAACCAGAGCCCGCTCTCTTTTGACGGCAGTCGTATCAGTATCTTCCCGGACTTTCCAGTGGAGGTGTCTACCCAATGCAAGCCGTTTGACAGTGTGCGGGAGAAATTAAGAGCCAAGGGAATAAAATACGGACTCCTGTACCCTGCTTGTCTCATCCTCACCCATGAGAAGATGAAGAACATTTTTTCTTCCCCGCAGGAGGCCGAATCTTACATTGACAGTCTCTCCTCGTGATGGAAGGTGAACTATATTGAGATCCATTGTGGTAAATAAGACTTTTAGCTGTTCGTGGCCTGTGCATTTCATGGACTGCTGGGCATGACTCTTTTCTTTTATTACCATTACGTTACTATTTTCTATAGTCCTTACAGATCAGTTGCCCAACCTTTACTGTTCTACTAATACTTAAAGACTATCAGGCCAATAATGCTATAAGATGTTCATGCATGTACACATGTGGGTCTGTATAATGTGTATATGCATGGGGATGTTTGTGCTTTCATTCACATACAAAGTATTCCTGATCACATTGTGTGGAGACGGAGCAGTGTGTTGTTTCGAAGAACCGTTAATCCGTCATCAGTCTATTTTTTGTTTCTTTTGAGTTTAATTTATTTAATTTTTCTCTTTTTCTAGTGTTCTGTTCGGCGATCCCATGTTTAAATGGGGAACTCTGATTTTCGCTCATGTTCGAGAAGCGAGATCACTGGGGTAGTATTTTGCCAGCTTATTTTTGTATTAGATATTTTTGTGTTTTTCTTTGTTTTGTTTATTCAGCAATACCTATGTTTGTACTTAACTAGTCGCTTAGTTTACCCTATATTTATCTTTTACTGCACTTCGATGAGCCCCCCTAAGAAACATTTGAATATTTTGAGCTGGTTTAAACAATATTGTTGAAAGACCAAAGTCGTCGCACATTTAAATTCTTTACAGGCAGATATATTGTTTCTGCAGGAGACTCGCATTAAGCATTCCAATGCACACAGACTTAAATGCAGATGGATAGGTCAAATGTACCACTCTACTTTCTCTTCTAAGGCCCGTGGGGTGTCTATATTAATACATAAGAATATTCCTTTTCAACATTTGAACACTAAACAAGGTATTAATGGTCGTTATCTTATTGTGACCGGTACTGTTCTAGAGAAACATGTCACATTTGTGAATTTATACGCTCCAAATTTCGATGACCAAATTTTTTTCGCTCTGTTTTTAACCTCATACCCAACATAGACTCTACTCATCTTATTATCGGAGGTGACTTTAATTGTATTTTGGACCTGTCAAGATGTCTTGGGAAAAGGACTTGGGGATAGATATTTCAGAAGATAATTGGACTAAGGCCCTCCAAGGTATTAGGTCTTGCTCCATCAACTCTAATTTTCAGTTGATTCAGTATAAAGTTGTCCACAGATTGCACTACTCCCGTAACAAATTGCATTCCATATATCCCTCTGTGTCACCTTTGTGTCTCAAATGCACGTCCAATGAGGGTACA